TCCAGTCTTTTGCGGTCACGGAGATCACGCAAAGAAGGTCTGGCTATATTGTGTCTTCTCCGAACCGATCTGCTCGGCGCCGAGCCGAATTATTTTCAACGAGTTCAAAGGGTGCGTTCGATTCTTTCATGTCGACGTGCGACGGTATTTTTGTTCAGCCTTGCTCGGGGGTGCGCCGCATCCCCCGCCGCGAATCGTAAGCGCATAAAGACGGTATTGTTACTATTATCCCCGGAGCGTGCAGCCCCGATGCAAGCGAGGCGGGCGTCGTCTCACGGATCCTCCGTAATTTTCCGAAGTTCGCACGGCAAATATTTACGCGCGGCGTTCAGCTGTTCGCGGCGCGCACGTTCGCGGGATGAAGGCTGGAAAGAAGGATCCAGAGAGGACAGCCCTTCGCGAAAATCACGAGCGCCAAAGGGAATAGACTCGTCGCGCTCGGGATCCCGCTCCGAAAAAGGGCTCGCGCGCGCCGCGCGTTTCCGCGGCCGACAGTCGCGGGTGAGGGCGGATTGGATAATTAATTTAGTTACGTTCTGCTTGCCGGCTGGCGGCGATGCTCGTGCCGGTTGCACGGGGATGCTGATGCCACGCTTTCAACGGGAATACGCGGTATATTCCTTCGGCTCGTTCGAAGCGACCGGCGAATCCGCCTCTCGCGAAGTAATTTTGCAGCTTCGGATATTCGGAAAGGGGATAGTCGGATGGGGGACTGTCGGCCTTCGGTTATTGCTAACAAGTTATTCCGCGACGGAAGTGCGGGTATCGGCAACTATTGTAATGGGGTAGTTGCGTGGGGTAGTTATAAAGTACGGGTTTTATGCATTTATGACGAAATGCATAATTTATGACGAATTTCGGGTGAAATGCGAAACATCGCAGATATTAGAAATATTATATTATAAAATATTATAATATTATAATATTATATTGTAGAAATATTATATTATAAAATATTATAATATTATAATATTATATTGTAGAAATATTATATTATTATAATATCATACTGTAGAAATATTATATTATTATAATATTATATTGTAGAAATATTATATTATTGGTCTGTCAGAATTGTTAGCACTAGAACTACCAAGCCAGTCGAAATGACTGATCTTCGATTTTTTCTTACAATTATAATTATTATTGAATAATTGTTATTGTAACGAATAATTATTATTATAAGTATATTATAATTTTGTTATAATTTTCTTATAATTCATATGTTATAATTGAAATTGCACATTTTATGGGCTCCTGACAAAAATGTGTAGATCAATTTCGAAACAGTGAAGACATTTAAAGAATTTAAAGATACTATTGTTTTATATTCAACTCGTTTAAATTATTCAGAAAGGAGATAAATGTTTGTTAAGCTCCTGCATTTTGCAGTCTGTTTACAGTCCTCAACATTGTAAAAATATTTTGCATGAGAAACTTCATTTATGGAGCATATATTATAATAATAAAATTTTTAAATTATAATTTTAAAATAATATATTATAATAATTATACGTGCTGTAGAAAGTTTAAATAAATCCAATCTTGTCGTTGTTATAAAATAGTCGATCGATGAAATGTCGATGAAAGGCGATATTGGTATGGCAGGTAAAAGAGATCGCCCAACGATGTTAATTAACGATAGTTGAAAATGTTTCGCTATTTATTATATTTTCCAGCATCGACATCGAATAACTTTCAATGTAGTACATTTATCGGAAAGATGGCTGGCGATAGTAATCGAAAATGTTATTGCACGCGGAGATTGACCGTTTTTGCAGCGTAATTGATCGAGAATCACAACAGTCGGAATTCATTCTCTGCTTAAAAATTCGTCGAGAGAAAGATGCGGCGAACGGAACTACGAAACCGATTTATTTCGACCGATTTTGCGTAAAGCTAGCTTTACCGTTAATCCTTTGCACTCGACGCCATTTTAACTCGAAATCCAAAATAGTTTTTCTGACCTATAGCATTTCCATTTTATACAATCTAGTGTATTTTATACGTTTTAAATTGAATTTTGCGATTACACTTTGCACAATATTTTTAAAAATAAACAGATTTGATAACGTTGACATTACTTTGAAACGAGATGTAACAATTTTTAACGACGCCTTAGAGTCGTCACTCGAGTGCAAAGGGTTAAGTTACAAATACGTAAAATACCATAGCGACAGTATAATGTTGAAATTCGAATTAATTGTAATCAATAGAAAAGGAAATTTCAACGCAATATCTGAACCGTTCGTCGAGAAGATAATACGGCAAACGGTTAAAAGAGTAAACAAATTAATATGAATAAATAATAAAAAAGTAAAACAAGCTATTAAACTAATAATTTAAATAAACGATTAATTCTTTAATTATGAATTTAAATAAATGAATAACAAACTAAAATAAATTCAACTAATAATAAAAACTATTCAACAACGTCGAGATATTCTAATTTATTAGAATCGTTCAACCAGATACGAAACTTATAACTAGCTCCGGTGTCTTCTACAATGAACGCAGAAAATTCATACTTCGCAGAGACGAGCCAGTCTGCCGACAAGTTCTGAGACCATCTGAATACAACGTCCGCGATAAACTCTCGAAGTAGACCAAGGGAGCCGGGAGTTGGAGAGGATCGATCACAATCCGTAACGATTTTTCAAGTGCTCGCAATTCCTTTGCTCTGGTCCGCCTATCCGTCCGTCCGACTGTCGGTCCGATCCCAGAAGTCCCTCTCGGCTCTTCGATTCCCGGCTCTCACCGAGGGCCGCAATGAAGATTGCCGTGCTCCGTCACGCGGTTCACGTCGGCCCGCCCGTTTGTCTGTTGATACGTCAAGTGTAATCTCGCAAACAGAGAGCTGCCGGTCGGCGAACAAGCCTCTCCAGCCGCCCCCTCCCCTACCGCGCGCTACGTCACCGCCGGAGGCTCGATTGCGAGCCGCTGCCACTGCCCGCTCCCCTCCCCGCATGTTCCGTCTCCGCCGGAGGCTCGATTGCGAGCCGCTGCCACTGCCCCCTCCCCTTCTCGCGTGCTTCGTCACCGCCGGAGGCTCGATTGCGAGCCGCTGCCGCTGCCCTCAGGCAGCAACCAGTTTGCACCCGTCCAGTATGGTTTGCTCCTTTGACGGTTATTGCTATTGCCGTTGCTATTGCTGTCGCGCGATCGTGTCCGCGATATCCGTGCTTCCGCGAGCGGAGATAACGCCGCGCCGCGCCGCGAACTACGCGTCTACGGAGACGGTTAAGTCAACGAATTTATGCAGTCGCATTAGCACGCGACACTTGCCAGCCATGAAATCACGATTACGATCGGCATTCGAGGACGAACGTTCGATAGAGGGCACGATTTAATTTGTGGAGAGTTGTTTATTGGCTGGTTTGAAATTTCACGATGATCGTCGGGGTTATAGTAATTTTCTCTCTAATTTGTGCTCAGATTGCGTATATAAATGGACAATTTGGGAAGAGGATTATTCGAGCTTTGCGACTCGTTTTTATAGTTGTTGGAAATCGGTAACTATGAAAAGGAGCCGCAAGGCTCGAATAATCAGAAATTATTTATTTTTGTACGCGATCTGTGCGCGAGTTAGGGAGATATTATTGTAATTAGGAATTTCGCAACCCTTGGTTAACGCTAGAATTATATAGGGCGGTAAAAATGATTCGCTTGGCATTTATTGTAATCGTTACACATTTTCGATACATTTTTGATAATGTTTGTACGAGCTTTTCTACAATATTGGAGTGGTTAATTATGTAAAGCAGTAGTTTGTTTTCTCGTCAACTGTGAGTCATCGCTAAGAATTATTATATCATGCTCCAAAATAATTTGTGCGCTGTTAATTTCGTTAATATTTCAAAAACTGGCTAACTCTTTGCATTCGAGGCCAAATTAACGCAAAATTTAAAATAGTTTCTCTGACCCATGATATTTCGATCTTATACAGGTTGTCCCAAAATTATGATATTTCCGGGAAATGATGGGTTCCTAGAGTCATTTGTAGCAATTTTGTCCTTAGCAAAAATGTTCTACGAGGCTTCGTTTACGAGTTATTAACGAAAAACATGTACCAATCGGAGAGCGAGTTCAGATGACGCAGGTGGCCGAGCAAATCAGCGGAACTAGGCTTCGTGCGCTCGATAGCTGCGCCGTCACGCGATAGTCGCCTCGCGCCAGCCGAGCTCGCCTCTCATTGGTCACTGTTTTTCGTTAATAACTCGTGAACGAAGCCTCGTAGAATATTTTCGCTAAGGACAAAGTTGCTTCAAATGATCTCAGGAACCTCTCATTTCCCAGAAATACCATAATTTTTGGACACTCTGTATATAACCCTTAAATATAAGCAAATATGATTAATAAAATTATTTTCAAAAAGTACGCAACAGTTTTTAATGGCGCCTCGTAACGGTTGAAACCGTTGTACGAGTAACAAGACTTGAATTTCATATATATAAAACGCAGTAAATCGTCTAAAATTGACACAACCATAAATCAGAAAAGCCGATTCGAACTTAGAGTCGGAATTGCCTTGAGTGCAAAGGGTTAAACATATTTTTAAAGGCGCGGTGAACTCTTCGAAAATCGATCACTCGTCTTAATCATTTTCGCACAGGCTGCGGATTTCTGGGATTTCGAGTGAGAAAAGAATGCTCAATATACAAAAGCAAACTCTAGAAGAATTTAAGACGTTACAAACTCTATTGTTCTCCCAAGCTTATGGTACATTAATTAACGAGAAAGGAAGCTTCAGTGATCGTCTTCTTACTCGAACACGCATTAATTCTTGTTTCGCCGTCATTGGACACGTTGCCGGATAAATTCGATTCTGCCTCTGAACGGGGTTCACGGGAACGGGAGAGGTTTTCCGTTGAACGGTACATTACGGGGAACAGCGTGACAAATGGCACGGGCGGAAACCGCTACACACGCTTCTCGTTTGCACAAACGGTTAAACCGCTTTCCGCGAAACCATTCCTCCACATTTAAGCTGATAGACTTACCGGTTAGAAAGGATAATCGTCGCATCGCGGGGAACGGATGGTTTCCGCTGGTGTCCAGGAGATCAAGCTGGTGGACCTCCCCTCTAATCCTGTACAGCTTCCGGTGGAAGTCCTCGATCGTCGGTGTGTAACTTTCGTCGAATTTGTTGGACAAAAACCTGAAGCCAAAAGCGTTACCTTCTGCGTTACCGAAGCATCAGCGGCTACCTCTCGTAATCTAGATATTAACGTTACACCGATTCCGCGCGTTTTACATCGACTTAGCCTCGGATTAAGCGCTCGCGGCCTGATAGCGATACTTCGGTGACACTGATTGCATTCGCGCACGAAATACGCGATTATCGCTAACAAAATGACTAATCGGTACATGCGGTTATGGATTAACCACTCTGCAACCTGATTCTTTTATCATTTTTTTCTTTCTTTTACTTTTTTGGCAACTACTTGTATGACAAAATTAGAACTAATATATAGGGTGCACCGTAATTATGTTAATACTTGAAAAGGGGCGATTCCTGAGGTTATTTGGAGCAACTTTTTCCTTAGCGAAAATTCAATCCGCGGCTTCGTTTACGAATTATTCGTGAAAAATGCTGACCAATGAGAGGCGAGCTCGGCTGACGCGAGGCGGCCGAGCCAATCGGCGGAACTGGGCTTCACCGCGTTCGTTGGCTCGGCCGCGACGCGCTCAGCTGAGCTCGCCGCTCATTGGTCAGCGTTTTTCATCAATAACTCGTAAACGAAGCCTCGAAGAAAATTTTTGTAAAGGAGAAAGTTACTTCAAATCACTTCAGGAATCACTCCTTCCCAGTTGTTAACATAATCATGGGGTACCCTGTGTACCTATTATGCTTGTTATACTTTTTCGTATTCTTCTTCTCACTTTTTATTATATTATACGTATATTGTATTACTATATTATATGCGTGTGGATATACATTTACGTATTTTATCTTATTTCGATATATTTCTTCTATTTTTCTCCTTTTCCCTCTTTGCTTGTACTGTATGAGATTACTATAATTTCCCATTGCTTTATCTGTAATAAAAGGTATTTCTACCTGTACATCTGAATAAATTATTATTAATATTATAAAATATACGTATATAAAATATGTGTATAAATATATTATGTATAAAATGGGGTTCTCGGACAGAAAAACGCGTCGTACGTGTTCGTTCTGTTCTAACCCCTCGCGCGCGATAGAGAACTTCCGTTTTCTCCTCTCCATTAAATTCTAGAAACCTTCTGTCGTACGCAAGGTCCAGAGATGCACCTCCTCCACTTTTCCAGTCTAAACACGCAACTACTCGGCAAGTTATTCCACGCCGACCCATTTCCAGCATTCAGACGCTCTATTCACGCCGTTCCGCGGCCCTCCCCATTCGTCGAGACCGCGCCGCCTCGGGATACGATCCGAGCTCGATCCAAGTCCCGGACCCGGCAAGAATAACCTTAATGGACGCAATGAGAGTTCCTTTGTTTCCCGACTCATCGGGCAACACGAGGCGACGCGTTCCCGAACCGAAGTTTGCTAATGGACCACCCCGACCGGCGCGAGCGGCCGCCGTTCTCCGTCCGCCACGTCGAATGCATCCACCGCGCGCGGCCGCCTCGCGTTTCACCACAATTTTCTAATTAACTTTAAAACACTTCGCGCGCCGCGTCCGCCCTTTATAATCGCCGGCAAAACTGCGGGATTCTTCGCGCCGCGAAACTTTCGCGCGCCGCTAGTTAGAATCTAACTATCCGGCGTTAAGATAAAGACCGTGCTTTTCGCCCGGTAAAGCGACCCGTAATCGAAGAAGTTACGGTAATTCGACTTTCATGCGGCTACGTTAGTTCGAATCGAATCGTTCGACAGGAAAGCGGAGATTGTGCTTTAGGCTGAAGGTGCGACAGAAATGTTGAGGATGTGGTTCGAGGAAAGATGAACGTGTTGGACGTCGTTGGTGAAATGAAAATTGGGACAGAAATGAGGCGTTTATTTTGAAAGTGGCATAAGTCATTTTGTTTTTAAGTCGATATATTTAAGGGTTTTCGTTTTAACACGTTTAAAAATATGGATGCTGACTTTCGAGAAGATTTACTTGTATTTGTTATCTCAGGATACTGATATTTTTCTCGGTATAAATAATTTCGTATAAACATTAAAAAATCACCACTTTTCGTTACGGTAAAGTGACTTATGCCACTTTCAAAATAAACGGCTCAAATGTCTCTCTAATTGACGCTCGGATTGTCCACTAAAATGGACAATTTGGGAATAGAAGATACGATTATTATTATATGTTTTTATAGTCTCGAATTGTTAACAACTGTAAGAACGAGCTGCAGGGCTCGAATAATCGTATCTCCACTTGACAAATTGTCCCATTTTTGTTCCCAAGCTGAGGGTCAATTAGAGAGAATTTACTGCACAGTAATAATTTACCGCCCAGATTGCGTACAAAAATGGACAATTTGGTACACAATGCAATACAAAAAGAAAATATGCATTTATATGCAAATCGACATCGATAGACCCGGAAACTTCGACGAAAATAACCTTGAAAAAAAACTAGTTTTCGCATCGTACTCGTCTCTTGGTACCAATCAAATTCCGCGTATAATATTTGTTGTAGCGTCGCTATTGGAAGAGATATTGAGATGACCGGTTTTTAACGAAACACCCTGAATCGTATTTCATTCGGTTCGTCCGAAACTTCGTCCGAACAAAATTTTACAAAGTCTATGCATTTCGTCAAACTTGTCAATTTTCGATATGACAAACATGTCCTCATACGTTAATTGTTACAGTGAAAAAGGTATGTCGAACTTAAAATCGAGACATTTTATCTGAAAGTAGAGGTTTTAAGCTTCAATTTAAAAAAAGGATCATTGTTCCATGACGACTTTTCATGGAGTTATAGTCAGTCGAAGTTCGCCAATTTTTATCCAAAATTCGTCTATCCGATAATTTTTTCGAGCAGTGTACAGTGAATTCTCCCTAATTTTCCTTCGGCTTGTGAACGAAAATGGACAATTTGGGAAGAGGAAACACGATTATTCTTGCGGTTCGTTTTTATAGTCTCGAATTGTCAACAATTGAGCGTCAGTCAGAGAGACATTACTGTAGTTGTAATTTTTGTTTGCGGACATTTTTCATGTTTTTGGTGTCTTTATAATTGTACAATACCAAAAAAAAAAGAAAAAAAAATGCGTGTGACAGTAAAAATTAATAGTGTCCTTTTTTTGAAATCAGAAAATATTTACTGGTCAACGAAATGAATTTTTCCTGACATTGTAAATTATCTGAACAACAAAATTCGCGACATCGTGACTAAATGAGCCTGTTAGAATGATAATGGCGAAAGTCGCATTTCTTTTTTCATCGTGAGCGACGAGGAGCGTTGTTATTTAATAACATGTCTATTGTTTACTAACATGTGTATCGTTCACTGGCAAAAATTGTTAAGATAATTTAAATCTTTTTCTTTCACTTGTCTAATTAACATTTTGCCATGCACAGATTAAATTTGACGACATAACAATAAATAATAATAATCAAAAATAATTCTTAACCAACTCAAATTATTATTATTTATTATGTTAAATGTTAAATAGACAAGCGAAAGAAATTGCAATGTTACTATGAATCGAGCTGACTCTAAATTATCCACATATAAAAAATGATTCTTATCCTCAACTCGAATATGTTCTTGCAACTCGGTCTAGAAAAAACCGACGTTGCCAGCAATTCTCTCGCGATCGTTACGAGTCAGCCGAGCGAGTCAGACACTTATTCTCTGCAGAAATTCAATTCCATTTTCGCGATAAAAACGCGCGAAATGTAAACGCAGCGGAATCCGCGCGAGGAATACCGTCGCGATCCCGAGCTCGCGAAAAATACCGAATATTTTTCAAACGATGGATTTAGGATGCCCGCATGGTGTTCGACCGGTAGAGCGTCGGTTCACCCGTTCTTTTTTTTTCTTTTTTTTCGGGGGCCTGCCAGAAGCGTCCCGGCCGCGCGTATGTGCGGTTGTACCGGAATCGAACGGAGGAGCCCGGAGCCGGCGAATATTCCAGGCAGAACGTTCCGCATGGTCGGGGGCTCGGATCGAGGCCGCTTTGAACGGACTGATTCGATCGGTGCTAATAGGACAAACAATTTAATTTCGGCCGGAATCCGATCTGCCGCGCCGGCGTTAGCGTGGAAACGCGACAATTGGTACGCCGATGAACTTGCGCGGCCGGCGGCACGCTTTTTTCGGGGCCGCGTTTCGCAAATCATGCGAACGAGATACCGTAAATTCTTCCTAATTGACGCTCCGATTGTACACAGAAATGGGCAATTTATGTATAATGGATATAATTTATATATTATATGAAATGGAATTTATAGTAAATTCTTCCTAATCGACCCTCGACTTGGAAACAAAAATGGACGAAGCGGAGGCTCGAATAATCGTTTCGCCTCTTCCTACAAATTTTTGTGTACAAGTTTCGGGGTCAATTAGGGAGAATTTACCGTATTCGAGCCTCGCGACTCGAATAAACATGTTATATTAGAACATAAAATAAATATGTTAATATTGTAATATTATGTTATAATATATGTTATAATATAATATATTTACGCATTATATAATGTTATAATATTATATAATATTATACAATATTATACAATATTATTATATATTATATAATATTGTATAATATACAATTTTTTATATAATAAAATTATATATAATCATAAATAAAATATAATAATCGTGTCTCCTCTTTCCAAATTGTCCATTTTTGTGCACAATCCGAGCGTCAATTAGAGAGAATTTATTGTACTCGTTAAAAAAAACTCGTTATCTCCCCTGTATTTTTATCCAAAAGAAAATTTGCAGTCGCTCCTCGTCAAAAAAACAAAAACAAACGATTGCACGATACAGGATACCGTATAAAACAAAGCATAGAAAAAAACGATGTTCGAAGAGCACCCGCAACTGCATTTTTCGTGGAACAAATCGGGGCTTCGATTCGTTCGGTAATAATGCAACTTTCGTTCGCGAATTTTTCGGAAAACTATCGCATTGGACATTTTCCATATTTAACGAAGCGAATAGGAATTAGATTAAAATTCTGACTTTAACGGGTTGAATAAGTTGAAAATAGGATAAT